TATTTATATCTTTATATTCCAATTTTATTTCCCATATTTTCCCTTCACCACTTATCATTATTTGAGGCTGGTCGTTCTAACTATTCTCTGATGTATTTTGCCAAAATAATCACATTTTGTGTTGACGGAGTCAGTTTATGATGACCAATTCATCAAGTCAAAAGATTTTTTTTAAATTGCAGATCAGATGTTTTGTTTTGTGTCTTTTTGAACTTTAGAACAGGTGCTGAAGCTGAATTATTTCACAATATAAATTAGTGTTTCTTCTAAAGGGTTAAGTTTCAATTTTTTTTATGATTTGATGAAACATGTTAAGAATGAGAACAAGTTATGTTGCACGCCCATGTACAGAGGCTGTTGTTCTCGTCGTAGCGGCTGTGGGTTTACAAAGTAAAGAAGTTAAAAAAGAATGAGAACAAGTGGGCAAACTATGGTTTTCCAGTCTTGTAGTTTATCTTGTTTAACACCTTGTCCTTCCTCCTGCAGAAATCCTACAGCTCCACATTGCGAGGGCCGTCTGCATCAGTACGTAATGGAGTAAAAGGTGGTGAGGATCCGTTTCCCCGGCGGGGGTCTCTGATGTCAGAGCTGAGGTCTGACTTTTCTCCAATGAAAGACGAAAGCCCATCAGAGCGCTTCTTCAAGGATTGGTTCTCCCGACCAGCTGACCAGCAGGGTGTCCTGATCCCCCTCTTCATGCCCTCACACATGGCTCTCTGGAAGCTTTTCTTCCTACGCTGGGTCCCTGAAGCCTGCATTCCCAAAGGAGGCTCCATCACCGCCTATCACAAGCTCTCCCAGCTAGTGGATGAAATTGAGATACTGCAGAGCCACCTCAGAAGGTATAAGGGACCGAGTCCAGGAGGCACGCCACTCCCCAGCCCAAGTGGGCCCATTTCAGACCAAAGGAGGATGTATTTTAAGGCCAGCTCTCCAAATGACCCCCCTACACCACCAGACTTCCTCACCTCCTCCTTTCCTTTCTCCCCTATGGGAAACCTGTGCCGCCGTGGCATCCACGGGACTCCGATTAGCAAATTTCTGAACGGGGCGAGAATCTGGCTCTCCACAGAGACTCTTGCTAATGATACTATCTGATGGGCTTCAGGGCTGACTTTTCTGAGCTCAGTATAGGCTTGTTTAACAGTTAACCATCTTATTTTCAATGACCCCTTTCTTTAATACCAGGAATGAAAATAAGAAAAAGCTACATTTAATTTAGACTTATTATTGTCTATCATTTATAAGCTAGAATTTGCACCATTGATGCTGCATCAAAATTTGAGGTAATTACTAGACTGAAGTGTTAGAACTAAATCAATCTTGTTTATTACAGGAAATACATTCAGTTAAACTGAAACCCATCTTTCATATTTGCCTGTGAGCTTTTACCGGAAGGTCTCACCTGACTGTGAAGTGTAATAGTTTATTTTTACAAGAGGTGTATTTTCTTTTCTACTTAGCATAGGCCTTTCTCAAGACAAGCTCAGATACCTGCTGTATGGCTTTTCAAGATTTAATATTGAGTAACTACACTTCATGTTTCAGAGCAATAACTGCAATTTAACGAAGTGTGTGTGTAGCAGTTATATCACTTTGCCCTTTGTCACATTCTTGTTGGTCAGTAAGACTCCCCTACTATAATTTAAGAAAAAAACCTTCCAAATAGTAATGCATATAATTTAAAAAAAACAAAACTATTTGCAGCAACAATGATGCATTTTAATGAACACTGACTTCAAATATTTCAATGTATTTGTAATTTTGGGTAAATATCTATTTTTAATAACAGAAAGAGGAACAGAAAATAACATTTCTGAACAGTACTTTTTATATGATAAACAAATAGGAACTGGCCTGGTTGAATGTAATGTTTCATTTTCTCTCTTCGTCTTTTTTGCACAAACTTACTGCTATTAGCTCCAAGTGCCCATCTTTTTGGCTGTGTAGGGGTTTCACTGAAAGTAGCAGATAGTTTGATTCAGGGTCTTAATTCTAATGGAGCAGGCAATACTTCATGTGGGAAGTGAAGCTGTGAGGGCTTAAAACTGTGGTAGATACTTCCCTCTCTCTTTTTAGGGGGGGGTTCATTGAACTTTTTAGAGGCCTTCTGGTAAGGCACTGAGGAGAAACTGTTCAGCTTAATGGTAGCTGAATTGCTGTATAAATAAAAGCAAAGGGACAGATAAGGGCTTTGACTTAAACCAATTTCTAGATTAGCATGTAATGAACTACATTTCTGGCTCTGAGGTTGATGGGTAAATGACAGGTGACACAGTTTCAAAGCAGCACACATGACACATTAGAAATGAATCACTTGGACGGCAAGTTTCATAAGTAGACCAAGTGTGTAATTTGGATTTTTAAAAATAAAATCTCAATAAGCGTCTGTCATCGCCGATACACAGTCCTGACAGGCCTCATGTTTGTAAGGAATGAGATCAAAAGGAAAAAGACAAACTGTATACACTGTTAAACTGCATGCAGCTATGACATCACTTAACATTATATTAGGCAGTATTTATTTATTTTTATTTTATTTTTTGTCAGAGATGTATCGATCAAGCTAAACTTTCAGCGTGCTGCAAAGATTCTGCCATTTGGACACCCTTTAAAAGTACCTGCCTGAGTAGTTCACCTGCTGCTGAACTAGGAAGTGGTTTGAGATGCATCAGGGGAGATGTAACGGTTGTCCAGTGCCTCTTTATAACTGGTATGCAAATTAGCGCTGTTAAAAGTGTCTTAAAATAACAGTTTTGCATTCACTTTGAAGCCCTGCATCATTTTTATTACAAGACCACTGGACAGAGTCAATGCATGTCCTAATACACAGGAGCATCGATCCTGGGATGCCAGAATGATTAGCTTTTTTATGATATGCAGATGAACTCTTGATTCTTTGGCAATAACTAGTTCAGGTGTTTTCTGGTATAGACATTTATAGTGCGAGTGCAGAACCTGCTCTCTCAAATGCTAATAGTTGCACATTTTACTCAATATATATAGAATAGTTTGTTTTAAGATGGTTGTTGAATATAATTTGGCAAATATTATAAATACTGTATATGCTTGAAGTCTTTCAATTAATATTTTTGAATAATGGTACTAAATATCTTTTACCTTTGATTTAGTCTTTGTTTTTTTTTCCTGAGAGATATTTATATGCTTTGAAGTTTCCACTAATGAACAATGTTGCACTCTGCTGAAACTGCATGATGACTGTGATTCCGATGTGACACAGTTTGATCTTTGTTATCAGCAGATGTATTTATTCAGTTATGCAAATGTTCTCTTATAGGGATGCATTTTCTACTGTACATCCCCTGTGCCTTTTTCTGGGAAGATTGACCATTTTTGTAACTATATTCTAAACCTGTTGACATGTATTTTTGCTAGAATTGTTGATTTATCTATTCTTTTAAACCAGTTTAATTCAGAGGTCCTGCACTTAAGCTTCTTTTCCTAACAGAAAATAAGGCTCAGTTGCGTACCATTAACTAATCATTACATTATTTTTCAAATGAATGTTGTGTTCTGGTTTTTATTTCACTGGATTCTGGGAAACAAACACTATCTTGGGACAAGAATCTACGGATTTCATCCTTTAATCTCAATGAGTTTATTTTTAAATGATCAATTATCTCACATCACTTGTTCAATCAGAGAAGAGGACGAAACAATTCAGTACTGCAAAGTGAAAAAAACAAAATCGTTGTTTTCAAGATCAGCTCACCTGCTGAATAACAATAATCATGTTCACAAAGACCAAAGAAAGACAATAAAGTGTAGGATATAAAAACAATAACCCCAGGTTCATTGATAACAGCTAACTATGAAAAATGTCTGTACAAAGTGAAGGCAGAAAAATACTCTACATCTTAAAGGTGTGATGACTGGAATCAACAATCTAAAGGTATGCAAGGGGGCTCCTTATTTTTACTGTTAATGTTTTGAGTCAAAAATGACTGACGACACAATTTAACAGCCTCATTCTTTCATGAAATTTCCATTAACTGCTATACAAGTCTGTTACAGCAGGGTGCTGGTATACCTTAATAAATTAATAACACCTGGGCTTTTTCTTCTTGGAGACTCTGAAGTCCTTAAAGCTGGTCTTTAACATTGTTAAAAATGTTTTACATTTTCATATCCCACGTCTGCATATTTACGATGAACCTCAGAGGCCAAAGACCTCAGGTGTTTTTGACCCTGAGCCCCCCCCGCCTATTTGCTTACTTTACCTCTCAAGTACAAAATGAACCCAGTATTACGGCATAACATGATGCATATTGAAGAAGGCTACAGTTAATTATATTGTAACAGAGAAATTGAATCATAAGAAACTGCGAATGTTATTCCCAGTAAACCAGTATAGTAATTAAGACTCCAAATGGGCTCCCTAAAAGCTAAATCTAGCAATAAAACCTTGAGACAAGAGTTACCATTCATGTTTAGAAAAGGCCATGAAGCAGAATATTTACTCAGCCAAATCACTGAATATTAGAAGAAAATTCATAGAAGGTGAAGTTAAAACTTAAAATGATGGATCATATCTACACTTGATTAGGTTCTGAAATAAGTAATCTCATACTGTAGTAGTTGGGAAGGGCCTTCTTTGCAAAATTCTTTAACAAATGTTTTGCATTCAACTCCAGCTCCCCCTACTGTACAGAGATTCACAATTGACCTTTCCTGCATTTAAACAAAGTCCTTGTTCGGTTTGTTTCAGATGAGTTATGATACATTTCTCTATGCTGAAAATATTTCGATTTGAGAGTTTCAGTAAAAAAATTATTATATTTCTATTTGGGCAAATAATACAAAGTGTATCTGTAGTTCTTATTTGTGTGTGTGTGTGTGTGTGTGTGTGTGTGTGTGTGTGTGTGTGTGTGTGTGTGTGTGTGTGTGTGTATGTGTGTGTGTGTGTAGGTGGGAGATCATTTCTGTATGAAAAGAAAACAGGAAATTGAATAAAAATGGTGACGTCATTGGTGAGCGCCTCTGCTGGCCTTCGAAATGGGCTCGACTCCCTAGCCTTGATTTCTTCAATTGTCCCACTGCATATCAACTTTTAGTACGAAAAAACCCCCTTCGCGATGACATTTGGAGGTACGTCTGCTCAGCGAGTCAAAGCAGGGACATGTTTGACGGGCGTCCTGCACATTGCCCATGTTGGTTTGTAAGCAGACGTGAGCCGAGCTTGAGTTCACTCAGTTCATGTCGCTAGCTGTGTTAGCCCTTCAGCTAACTAGCCGAAACCGCTGGGCTGATACATTACAGCGATGACTAAATGGCCCCATGTGGCATTATCTGTTAGAACTCGTCGTCTTCTTTAAGTGTCAGTGTAAACAGTGTCATTCGGCGTCTTTCCTGTGTTTAGTGGAAAATGATGAGTCTCAAGTTGCGAGCTAACTTTGTCGACTAGCTAACAGTGTGACTGGAGGAAAAGTGTTTTTAATCTACATTTATAATGCGGAGGTTTCCTATCTAGTGCTGTTTAAAGGCTCATTCAAGAGAGCATGTGTCTTTGATGTTAAGAGAAACTGGAACACACTCAAGGACTAATTTAAAAAACAAGAGTCTTTTAGTTAAATGTGTTTGTTCACAGTCAAACCAGAGACAGTAACACATTTGTTTGACGACCTCTGTTTGATCACATGTCACTTTGTACCTCAACCTTTGCTCTCAAAGTAGAATTCATTATGATGAGGATCTCAGTTTAGATCATTCTTGTTGTTCGAGTGTTTGTAGGTCCAACTTTGTGTGAGTCGAGTGCATTTATTGTTTTTTGCATTTTCTCCTGTCAGGTGTAATGATTCAAGCAGATATACAGTGACTGCGTGATGCTGTCATAACAGGGATTAACATGAAACCAGTTAAAAGGGTAAAAAGGAATAACTCGGATGTTGCAGCGTCGTGTTATCTAATTCAACGATAGTAATCGCTTGATCATTAATGTGATTGGATTTATGCTTCCTGGGATTTTAATTGTAATTATGAATCCTTCCTTCTTTTTTTTTTTTTTTCCCAGGTGAATTTGTAGATGAGGTGAACCAGGTGTTTTTCCAGCTGGTCTCTGTGCAGGCTGACTGGCTTGCAAGCGTCAGTTCCTGTGCAGTACAGTAAAGCTACCCACTTGGTCAGAGGATTGCAATGAAACAAGCTCAGGAGCGCAACCAGGAGTGCCTGCCTCCTAAGAAGAGGGACCTCCCAGGTAGTAACAGCATTGGAGCTGGAGGGGTGGGGGGAGGTGGTACAGCAGGAGGAGGAGTTGGTGGTGGAGGTGGCGGCGGCGGCGGCAGCGGCAGCGGAGGTGGAACTAATGCCGGTGGTGCTGGAGAAGATGAAGTTGGACCTGTCCAAAACTCTGCAGCCAGCAGTGACACTCAGGGAGGGACTGCAGAGTGGCTGCGAGCTCAGCCAGGGCTTCATTACGGAGTAGATAATTCTGAGGGCATAACAGCGGTGTCTGTTGACCAATACAGTATGCTCTACAAAGTGGCACTTCCATCACCTACAAGTCTTCACCCAGTTTTGAGCCACATTTCTCCAGCCTACACCGTACACTCACCTCTCCTGCAGCACCCAGGCCTTTCCTATCCTCCTCTCGGATATGCCCAGATCCCTCATTCCTCTCTCCAGTTTGTTAGTTCCCCTTATGCAGCAGTACCTTACGCTCTCCCCCCTGGCTTTGTCCCGGGGTCATTAATCTCTCCAACAGGCACCATTCCTCAGCCCCACACTGTGTCCCACCTTGTTCCCTATCCATCTGTCATACAAGAAGGTGTTGTTTCCCCACCTCCCCAGGCCCAGGTAGCTGCTCACACCTTTGCCAAAGTTGCAGCAACCAGCAGTGTCCCATTAATGCATCCTTCAGAGCAAGCTGCCCAGCAGCACCTCAGCACTGTAGGGGTCCTGTCTGCAACAGAGGTCAGCTCTAGAGGGATGCCAGTCTACTACCACCCTCAGGTGGCCAGGGCTGCCACTGCAACCAGAGAACCCCACGGTGGCCAGCAGGGGAATGAACCAGAGATGAATGGAGGCGATAAAGAGCAGGGAGCCAGGGAGGTTGTTGTTCTAGATCCAGCCTACGCTGCCAGAAATTCACGTCTGCTGCAGGTAGCATTCAGCGCTGCAGCGCAGGAGCACAGCCAAGAAAGAGGCCTGCAGAACAAAAGGCATGAGGGGAGAGTCTCGCCTGGCCAGCGCAGCACTCCAGACAGCGACCTGGAGGTAAGACACATAAACTGCGTCTCTATCCTACTTTTGTTTCCCTGCTAGTCTGATTATCTCTACCATATACTGTATGTTAAGACAGTTAAGTTAACAAATGTCATGCTTAGTTTAATAGCTTGTGTGCGATTAGTTCTTGGCTCTACATGAATACTGTCATACTAGTCTTATGTATTTCGGAGTAATCTACTATTTTATTCTATTCTATTTTTTGTGTTCAACTGGTCCCTTTTCTAGTCATTTCATTTTGTTGCTGTACTAATTTCCAATAATGAAAAAAAACACAACTTATTTTAATCCTCTTCCAGGTGCAGCAGGTCGTTGGTCATTTGGCGTCTTCTAGCCAAAGTGGTAGTGGACTGAGGAAAGAGGTCTCCTTTGCGCCTTTAAACCTCTCTCAGGGTGCCCAGAGAGCAAGAGATGTCCATGGGGAGAACACAGGCGTAATTTCGAGCCGGACTGCGTACACGGCGGGGACTGTGAGTTACAGTGACCCCAGAATGGCAGGTGTCCATGCACAAACAGGACAACCAGGCCATGCTGTCATGATAGCCAATGGGCAACCAGTCCTTATTCCCCTGGAGTATCATCTGCCACATCAGCCACAACTGACACAGCAACACTATCTAGGACAGGCTAATGATGTATCAGTCAGCTATGCCTCCACCACCATGGCCTCCTCTAACCCAAGCTTTAAAACCTCTGATTCTTCAGCCAGAGTGTGCCTCCCTGAAAGGGCGGAGCAGACCCAAGCTCAGCAGCAACCCCCTCAGCAGCAGCCTCTTGTTCAGCCTGCAGCAGATGTAACTCAGGCCTTGGCTTCAAGCCACACTCCTGCCCAGGCTCCCGGCAACCCGTCACATTTTATGAAGGGGGCCATCATCCAGCTGGCCACAGGGGAACTGAAGCGTGTGGAAGACCTGCAGACTCAGGACTTTGTGCGCAGCGCTGAGGTGAGTGGAGGGCTTAAGATTGACTCCAGCATGGTGGTGGACATCCGTGCCAGCCAGCAGAGACCTGGTCTTGTGTCACTTCACTTTACTGTTGGGGAGCAGCAAAGTAAAGTCACTATTGACGTGCCCCCAGAGCACCCTTTCTTCGTGTTTGGGCAGGGCTGGTCCTCCTGCAGCCCTGAACGCACCGCCCAGCTCTACGGCCTGGCCTGCCATCATCTGCAAGTAGGAGATGTTTGCGTGTCCATTACTCTGCAGCAGCAGCAGCAGCAGCAGCTTCAGCAACAGCAGCAGAAACAGCCACAGCATCATCATTCACAGCAACAACAACAGAGCCTGCCCAGAACTTTAAGCAAAGCCAACGCCACGTCAGGACCTGGTCACCAGCTCATGGGTCCACCTGCCCCTCAGCAGTCGAGGCCTACGTCGCATTTCAGGCTAGATCGAATCCAACGAGAGAGACAGAGAGAGGGAGACAAAGATGCGGTCGATAGGGAGGATGCCAGACATTTTGGGGTTGTTGGGCACACTGAGCCACCCATCAGACCAAGTAGGACCTCAGCAGAGCATCCAAGGAGCCAGAGCAGTTTCCATTTGCACACAGAGGGCTCTACTTTTGCAGGGGCAGGGATGGCAGCAATGCAGGCTTCACTAGGTGCTTCTCAGAGGCGCTGGTCGTCACCTGCCCTCCAAAGATACAGTATGAAGGGAGACGAAGGGCCACGCCCTCAAATAAGCACCTCCGGCCACACAAGGCCCTCTTTCATCCCCCAGGAGATCAAACTGTCCATAGAGGGGCGCTCTAATGCAGGGAAGTAGCATCACATTTGGTAGCAACTATAGAATGGACTGCCAAGAGTAAGAATGAGTCTAAGGAGAGAAAGAGGAAAAAAACAAAAAGAGTGCGAATGTAGCCTCAGAATGTTTGAGATTTGCACACTGTAAATGTAAAAAAAAAAAAAGAAAACACAAGATCTGTGTCAATCTGGAGAGAAGTTGTGGTTTTCAATTAGCCAAAGGATACAAGGCTGTGCTTTTCCAGCCAGCTGAGGTCTGACAGGGACATGAAGAGCTGAGTAGAAAGTATGTAGCTGTTGAGATCCCTACCATAGTCCTTACACACTGCATTTATCTCAATCCCTCCCTCCTTTGTGGTCACTTACTCATTTCCATGCTAAGAGGTACCCTTTGCATTCAGAAAACTCTGGCTTCCTTTTTGATAGAATTGTCTTTGGATGACCACAAACTCCAAAAAAAAGTGCTTGTAGCACAGCAAAGCTACCAACTCTGCAGATTTTGATGTATATACAAGATTCACAGCCTATGACTTATGTCTCCTCCTTTCCTAAGATCCTGTTTCCTTCAAAAAGCATTTTCCCCCCAAAAAACTGAGTAGAGTTGCTGACCTCAGTTCCTGTGGTGATGCTAACAGTCAGTGTATGTTACATTACGGCTCTTAAGCAAGAGTCTAAAACCTCTTTTGTCAGCAGAGATCCTCTCTCAGTCTGCAAAGAACAGTATCCTCTCTCAGGCCAAGTGTGGCACGCCCCGCTTGTCTTACAATCAAAGATGGTGGAAAATCAATCAATCAGTATGTTCAGCGATCAGTTTGAACTAAAAGAAGAAAAAAAAGATTTCTTTCTTCCCTCTGTTTCGTGCCCTCTGTTTTATGGTGAGGGCCCTTACGTTTGTGCTTGTGTGCATAAATGCTGCAGAATGGAAAGTGTTTACAGAAACATTTTACATTCCAGTATCATCCGAGAGAATTTCCATCACTTCATGTCAATCTTAATACTCAATAACTTCCCCTCCTTCCTCCTCACTATACCTCAAAGCTTTCCGACCAGACTGGTGACTATTGATGCAATTTTCAAGAGCATGATTATGGAGGAGGAGGCACTGGCTGGTCATCACCAAAGCCACCTGCGGGAATAAACCAGACACATATTCCCGTGTCAGATCAATGGCTACAAGCCACTGTAGCCTACTTAGAAGGGATGTGTTTTGTTTGCCTTAGAGAGAAACCCTATGTGCGGGCAGGTCGGTGGCGAAATTTGATGAACTCTTTGCTCAGTTACCAAATGAAAGCAATAGTTGTTTTTACAGCACGCTGCTGTAATCCTCTCCCCCAGGAACCACTCTTTGTGTGGGCCGTTTTATATCTCTTTACATCAGAGGTGTGAGATCCAACCCTCTTTAACCCTGTCTTTCAAAGATGATGCACTATTTAGATTAATTTCTTTGAAGCTTTATTATTTTTACTCAAACAAAACCCACATTCAACAAAATTGTCAGGAAATAGCTGAAGCTGAATATTCTTCTTTTAAATTCTGCATCTCACTGATGACATTTACTCAAGTGCAACTAGAAGAAAGGCTGGACTACATTGCGGTCATTATCAGTTTATTTTATGTTCTGTCCTTGGCTTGTGTGCTTGGATCTGCTGTATGCAGGGAGTCTTTTGATTGTTTTGTGTTGCACAGAAAATGTCACTCATTGACTTCACACTGACCTTGTTTATAAGAATCGCAGTACAGTAGATTTAGATTTTTTTTAATGAAGGGAAAATGTTTGAAGTATTGTTTTGAGTATTTTGTGATTAGAGAGAGAGAGAAAATGACCTGCATTTTTTTAACTCTGTTTACAAATTAGCCAAGTTGAATGCTGCAGTTTCCTCCTCTTGACACATGTTAATCCCTGACAACTTAAATCCAAAAAATCAGAAAGGGTAAAACTTAAAATAAGTGCAATTAGACCATACATAGAATCATTTCGAGGTTTATAATCAGATAGCATTCCTCACACAAACATTCCCATTAGAAAGTGTACATCAAACAGTACCAGTTTTCTTTCTTGCTTTTCTTTTTTTTTACTGTCATGATCTTTGGACTGACCTCTGGGAAAAAAACATTTGATCATTTCATGAATTGCCTGATGTATTACCTTTCATTGGATGTACTCAGAAAGCTACTTGCATGGTTGTTAACTTACTATGTGACAGATGTGTTAATGTTGTACCCCAGCACTATGATGTGTCCTTCCTGTAGAGCCTTTGTCCCTTCTGTTTTCACTTGATGTACAGGCAGACGCTCTGACAGCAGGCAGATGGGCCTACCAGACTCTCCTCCTCTGGTACTGTCATTACTAGAAGCTTTAAAGGGGAGATTGACATTTGTTCAAGTCTTTCTTTAAAACAGTCCTCACCATCCCCCGTCAAGAATTATTCAAGGTAATCATTTCTCATCCTTGGAACAGTAGCCTCACAAAGATTTCTGTTCTGATGCAAATCTAATGAAAAAGATCGTGGGACGAAATCTAAAGCCATCTTTCTGTGCAATAACGTTATCCATGCTAATATGAGGCTTCAATCCAATCAAACGAGTGTTTCGCAAAGTTGCAGTTTTTTTTGTTGCACACAATTGACTTTTGAAGTAACTGTTGAATTATTATTTTCATTTGTCCTCCATTATTATTACTACCTTATTGATATTAGTATCAATTACAAAGATATTGAAAGAATTGAAACTTTTTTTATTGTTGGAAAAATCATTTCACAATTTATCATTATAATTGTAAGATGTTAAATTTGCTTTTCTACATTAAGATTCAGTACTGTAGATCAGCGAATCCACATGTTGTGTCCCCAGTTGTATCAGTACGAGCTTTCTGGCCAGGCATGTGTGCACATACAACTCATTTGACTGTGCAAATGATGCAAACGTGGCATGGATACAGTGAATGATTATGAATAGTTACAACTTGTGAAACAAGTTTGTATGGTGATAAGATAGACTTGGAAAAACTGTCAATCTATCCTTTAAAATGCTTTGTAATGAGTTATACATCTTTGTTCACACGAGAACACATCTTGACATCACAAAGTTCACCACACTGCATTTGTTTTCATGCTTTAAGCAATAGACATAACCCTGAAAACATTTCATTTAGTCTCTGTGTTTTCTATGCAGTAAACTCACAGTATTGTAACTTCTTTGTCTTAAGTACGGCTCCAGGGGCAGGTTGGCTGATGCAGTCATTTTTTTTTCCCACTGATGTCTGGTTAAAGGATTATTCTAAATAGGAATACACACCAGTATTTTATTTTGTGGAGTAGTTTTGCTTCTTGTATATTTTGCTTGGTTGTCTCAATCTTCCTACTTAAAGCCCCCTGCAGAGTCTCAGATCGGTAAACTTTGACTGTCTCTTTTGGTGCCACACAGTCAGAGCCATATCACTCAAGACTGCTGTTAATCAGATTTTTGTGTGTTGTTTTGGCACCGTTGCCTCGACACTTCAGCATTTTCTTTTAGGTCAACATGCATTTGGGCTTTAAATGGTGCATGCATTGCCACCTGTGAATTTACCTCCTGTTCATTCTCACAGCAAAGACCAACCTGCTCTACCATGAGCCTGTTCGTTTCGGCCCTCTGCTCTGAGCAGTGTGTGCTGCCATGTTTAACAGGAAAAAAAAACACAAAGATGTCACATGACACACATCCTCTTCACATTACTGAGTCTGTTGCTGTAAGTAATTGCACTAAAAGCCCTCTTTCACAGTGTTTTTATTGGATTTGATAAAAGCTGTAGGTATATTGAAGAGTTTCAAACTGTTAGAGCACACAGAATCATGGAGGAATTGCAGGTTGTGTGTTTCTGTAGATAAATGTTTTTTTTTTTTTTTGTATAGATAGCTTTGATAACGCATGTTGATAATGCCTTAAATTCTGCTTTGTACAGTGTGTGAAATAATGGAATAATGCTTCTAGTAGATTTGGTGTTCCCTTTTCAGGCTGTGTACAAAAGCAAATCAGAAATGTCAAGCCGTGACATCCACTTTGTCTTTTTGTTTCCTTTTTGTCATGATCTATACCGTTACATTTTTAATACGTTTTTTCTGCTCACACTTACCTTTTTTAATTACCTTTCACTGTTTTTTTGTTTTGTTTTTTTAATGTGCGGAAGTGAAGTAAATGGAAGCTTTTCTCTGCACTTTTTACAATACGATGCCAAGAGTGTCTGCAATGGAGGGCAGTCCATTAAGTCCCCATATAGACAGCCAGACATGCACACATCTGTTGTTTTATAGTTGCACACGATCAGTAGGTTTTTTTTCTATATATATCTTTCATTAATGGATTGTGTTTGGTGTCTTGTGCTTTGACCAACAGTCTCTGGACAAGAGAAAGTGGGTTTGAATAAATGGAGGCAGAAAAGCTGCATAAATCAGATAGCTTTCCATTGATGGTAATGTACTGGTTTTGTTTAGTTTTGTGATGTTGACAGTGGGATTTCTTTTTTTGTTTTAATCTTTGTGTGAACAACTTCCTATAGTTTGATCCAATATTGAACTGCAAAGGTGAATTGAGGACGGTGTTGGTGTCGCTGATGTCATATGAATTCAGGAGAATGAGAACGGTTTCAAGTTTTAAAGAAGTCTGTATTTTCAGATTTGATGATGTACATTTTTTTTCGGCACAAGGTGACACTGCTTTACATGTGACATGTTAACTATTCTAAAAACGAAACAGAAAACAGTGTCTTTTCTTAAACATGCCTAAATCTGCAAAATATATGCAATGATGTAAATGTAACATTCAATCCTCAAGTATAATCCAGGTTGTATGAACTTTGTATAGTGAGTTTTAATATTGTACGGCCGTACCAATATGTATTGATCTTTATCTGAAGCCTTAGAGTTGTTGACCGAAAGTGCTCCCTTAGAATACCCTACACCTACCTGACTTTAACAAAGCATTAATATCTCTATTTTGTTGCATTCTTATTTGTACCGTTTTGAATAAAATAGATTTGTACTGTATATTTGTACCTCTCTGTGAACTACTTAGGGCGGTCTTTGTTTTTTTTGTTTTGTTTTGCTGTTTTAATTTCTATGTACTTTAAGGACACAAAGATATTGTATTTTTATTGTTACAGCTAACTTGGAGACATTGCATTTATCATGTTTGTTAAGTAAACACAATATAATATATATATACAAATATAAATATAAACTATTATCCAACCTGTGTATTGTGTTTCTTTAGTTGCAGTTGTCTTATTTTATGTTGAATCTTAAATGTATTAAGTGGAAGTTGGTGCTGGAAGAGTTAATGAGATCCTTTAGCCTCTTTACATGTCATTGTGAATTTCACATTAGAAGTATCATAAGCCATATGTCTACACTTTACGCACCTACAGTATTATTAGAACTCATAAAGTTGCTAAATCGGTCATGTCAGAAAACGTTTTGGTTAAGAGAGATGGGTGTTCAAACTACAGCTGAGTAAACCAAATAGCTTGTGATCGCAGAGGAATAAACATCTGGAAGTCATAGCCAATCGCCGTGAATTGAATTTTTTAAAGGATCTTGTTTAAGAAACTTGATTTGAAATGATCTGTTCAAGTCAGTCAAAATTGATATGTCCAAGCTTGTCACATCAAATTGAATTAAAGTTGTTAAATTAATTAAAAATTGAATTTGATACGTATTACAGTTCATTTGACTATGTTATTTTATTCAGTTAATACTATAGGTATTTAGCATTTGTTATATTACACTCTAGTTTAAAAGGACAAAATGTTTGTACATTTATTTAAATGTAGTGGAGTAAATTGAACACCAAATTGAAATACACCGGCAACCCCTAACCCTTCCCTCACAGAAGATCTTTCTAACCACAAGACCTCCAATCAAAACTTAAATACAAATTACATTCATTCAATTGTCTGTCTTTGTTAGACAGTTTTTTCTCCTCTGTGTTTTAATTTTGTCTTTATGAAGAAACTGCAAATAAAATAAATAAATAAAAATAAATTACATTCAAGATCTCGTTTTGTAAGAGACTTGGGTTTCACGTGTATGAAACAAAGGAGAAGAGGAACAATACTGGACACAACCATTTATGTAAAATCATTGTTTATTTCCACATTCTTTACCAGGTTTCATCGTGGTCTGTACATCTGTTAATCCAGTAACAGAGGATATCATCCCCCAAAGTGCTGTCCGGTAAGGGTGCATTGATATCGCAACAAGCTAAATGTTCTCGTTAGCGGTTTAGCTCATTCATTTGGCCTTGATCAGAGAGTCTTGTTTTGTAAACATGGACATAAAGAGAACATCCTGGTAGAATTACTATAGAAAGGCCAACATTTTCCACATTTTTTCTTTTGATTAAACTGTAAGAAACAGGCAGGCATAAACTAATAGAAGAACACAAGCTCATATTGAACCATTCTAGGACAAGTGCAGTTTCACCACATGCAGTGCTTACCTAATCCATAGCAAAGATACTGCTGTAAAGACCAACATCACTTAAGAGTTTATAGAACTTCTTTTGCCATAGTCTGTCAGCCCGCAGAAGTCACTGTTTTCTGTTGCACTCATCCTCTGACGGACGAAGGGGATCACAGCAATTTCAAAGAGCGAACTGTGAGAATACCCAGTATTCATAGTCTGAGAAGAAGAAGAGGAAAAATTACACCTGAAGACTTTGCTGAGAACACTGATCTGCCCTTGTTACACTTCGTTATGAATCTGATGGCAGTGAGACCCTGTTGCTTTAATGTGCTGAACTAGTAAGAAGAAAACACATCTCCGAAGACCAAGTGTCTCTAGAAAAGTCACGACTGTTTCAAACCGTCACATGATGAATCTATAAATGATTCTTACGGAGCAGGGTGTTGTCAAGGCTCTGGGCCCAGCTCACTGAGTTAAATTGCCTGAGAAGCTGAAACTCTTAACATTGAAGTCTGTTGAAATGAACGTTGTATTCTGCATAGATTCAGCAAAAAGTGAATTAATTTCCCTTGGAATAAATAACACATCTGTTGCATAGATGTTTGATGCACTCCTAGAAAAGACTTTTAAAAAAAATCCCTATTTTGTCCCCCTCTGTTAAATATGCTCTTACAAACAGCCAGGTAGATTGACCTCTTGTCTAGGAGTGACTCAAACAGAACCAGTACTTGTTCTCATCTCTGAGATCCTGTGCAGACTATTTCAGAAACTGCTTGTTTGACACTGTAAATATTTGCATCTGGAGGAGTGAAGTCAAGAAAATCTGAAGGTAACCTTACAGGCAGGAAATCAAAAAAATAAAAATAAACAGAAGCATCCAAACATGGACTCTAATTTTAACATTATCACACTTTTTATACCACTGACGGCAACAAAAAACACTTTCACAAGAAAAATATATTCACATCATATTGCATAAATATGTGCTGGAATGAGGTTAATGAAGATAGATTAATAAAATGTCCCAGTATGGGCTGTATGCAGTCAGTGAAACTAGCCCCTGTGCCTAGTAACACATGGGGAAATAAAACTTTTGTAAAATGAGTTCCTCTATTATATGAATAAATAAATATCTTCCACCAATTATGCTGACGGATAATTTATATATCAAACCCCAGTTTAAATGGTTCAGGTTGCATTAACTTAAGGTACTGCAGCTTTAATAACCATTTTAATGCTACACAAATTGCATCTGTATATGAGCCTCTATATAACAATAAAAACCCACGATCTGATGCTTAACTTCTAATGAGGAAATTGTTTTTCTGTGGGCAGAATTCAAGTAATGTGACAAATTCTGTTGTCAACAAGTAACACACTAGGAACTGTCATTGTAACCACTTAATGAGCATTTGAGTACAATGTTCCTGTTGATGAGCCCAAAACATAGTAAGAGGTAACTCATGTATTGTACAGTACAATAACCAGCAGCACAGACTTTGTTTATGAGCCAGAGAAATGCTCTATAACACAAAGTCAAAACAAAAGCAGAAATGACATTGGCAAAATATTCGGAGTGTAACAATGTCGGATAAAGAAACATTTCAGATATTGGCAAAGAGAATGTCAAAATGTTGAATGCATTAAGTTGTACAACTCGGGAGGTGAGGGGGAATGTTGCTTAACATCAGGCGCATTCAACAGGACCAAAACATTCAGAGGTCAGAAATAAAACCTGGGAGATAAACTGGAACTGGTGTTGATATACCAGAAGCTCCCTTGAATGTTTGTGTCCTCTGAAAGTGCCTGAGTGATAAATGTGAACGCATCCTCTGTAGGAGTGTACAGTTTGTAGAGAGCTTTGGAAGCCTGGAGTGTGAACGCAGTAAGCCACAAAGACAGATGGCGCCACCACGACGCCGGCTGAGGTAGTTTGAGTGAATATGAATTTCCCAGGGACCCACGGAGGCAGCTTGAAGAGAGAGGTGTAGCTACCAGTACAGTAAACTCGGGTCACTGGGCTGGAGGAGTAGACCAGAAAGTATGGGCGGTGGGTGGGCTGTGGCTACAGAGTCCCCCCCCCCCTCCCCGCTTCTGTCACTGAAGGTCAATGTGCAAAAAGGTTTGTTTTTCCTCATAGGAAGTAAAACTGCCCCTATTAGAATGAACTGTGTTAAAATCTGCTAGCCCACTGAAGGACTGATAAATCTCTTTACAACATGCGATTATGTCATCAGCCATACAACATGAAACATTCTTAACCCTGTTCCCAAGGTTTTCTAGACTGTAATAAATTAGAAATTGACGCAGTTTTTGCTGTACAAAGCAGTTTGAGTGTGACGCTGATGGACACCGAGGAGGCTGGAAGTGAGGAGGCCAGGAATGGTTCTCAGTGTACATAGCAGACTGGTGGCATAGTGCAGAGGTTAAAGATGCTGCGAGAAGCCAGAATGCTCCTGGTCCACTTAGGGCAGCTTCATGAAGAGGCCGTTATCAATGGAAGGGACAGGCATGGGACAGGGGAACTGAAAGAGGCTCATGTCTGCTGTGAGGGCCGCCATCGCAGCAGGATCATGCTCTATCTGTGTCCTCAGAGCCGGGTCGATCTTCTCCAGACGTCGCTTGATCCTCTTCGCCTCTCTCTCGCGGATGAGCCTGGCCTGCCTCTTCTCAGGTGTCTCGTTGGCCCTCTTCATCCGCATGGCTTCCCTGTCTCTCTGCAGTCTGCGTGCCCGCTGCTCCTCTGACTCCTGCATTCTCTGCATGCGCTTAGCCTCTCTGTCTCGCAGCCTCCTTATCTCCCTCTCCTCGTCCGTCTCGCACGCCCGCTTGTTCTTCTTAGCCGTGCGCTCACGCTCCAGGCGCTGCATACGGGCCTCCACTGGTTCGTTCTTCCTGCGCAGTGCCCATTTTCTCATCGGTGACTGGGCGTCCACCAGCTGCTGGTATGCCACGCAGCTATTGCACACCAGCAGCACGCCAGCAGGATACACCGGCATGGGGCTTAGGATGTCAGGGATAGGAGGAAGGCTTGAGGAAGAGTTTAGAGCGTCAGGTATTGATGCAAGTGAGGGCCCATCAGAGAGGAGACTGTCGGGTAGTGAGGGAAAGGAAGGTCCTTGGTCAGAACCTGTGCATGTTCCTGCCCCTGAGCATGGTCCAGATCCCGGGCCATGACATGGTTGCAGGCCTTGACACTGGCTTGAGATGTGGCTGGGTCCCTGGCAGGTACGGTGGGCTTGACAGAGGTGTGGGTTGAGGTCAGGTGCTTGACAAGGGTGTGTGCCCTGGCAGGAGCTGGGGCCAGGTCCATGGCAGGAGCAGGAGCCAGAGCCGGGGCTGGCAATAGGGCTGCTGGAGAGGGAATGAGTCAGGGAACAGCTGTCCCTCCCACTGCTGACATCCATTCTGTTTGTGTCGAGGACATCTTTAAGCTTCTCCCTAAGGAAACACAAGGTATTAATAACTGGTTAGAGTCATACATAACCTATATAAATCCAGGGGATTATGTGGAAGGATCAGGCTCTTCATTTATTTTCTCCTTTTTAAAATGTAACCTCTTGATCTCTCATATTTCACTAAGCAAGTGTCTGATTTAGGCCAAATTTAAAACCCTAACCCAGGTCTTGAAGACGTTATGCAGATCATCAAGGTGCTGTAGTAGCCCTTCCTTGGTTGGAGATAGGAGCTTAAGGTCATCTGTGAACACTAGGCACTTGACTTCAGTGTCTAACAGGGTGATGCCAGCTGCTGCAGACTCTTCTAACTACCTTGCCAACTCATTGATGTAAATGTTAAAAAAGGTTGGACTTAAATTGCATCCCTGTCTAACCCCTCAGCTTTGGGGGGCTTTATACCCGATAGAATAGCTCTTCTATTCTTATCTCTTCTCTTTTGCCTTTTCAAAAACACATTGTGTCTCATGTTTCTGAATGTATCATGCATCTTTACTTTGCCAGTGCGGTTAAAAATTCTACTTAGAGGTAGTTGCTAAGCAACATGCAAGTTTATAGCCATTAAATCTGTCATTTCAGTACTAATGTTATTCACCCCTTATGCTTTGCATCCTGCCTATTGTCTCTCTTTGAGAACCACTGACTGTGTTTCAGTGTTCTGTTATTGATATATTTTCAAAGAATTAATCTTTTCAAGGAATCGATTACCTCTTTAGATGTATAAAAATTATCTTAGGTAACCAAAGTGCTGTCTTCTGACTGACTGTAGTAGTTGAATTTTCTTAAGAGGAAATAAAAGTGCAAATTGTTTCATCTCCAAAATCATAATGCTTGTTGCCTTATTCTTGTGGTGACAACACTGTCTGCTGTAGTTAAATGAATCCATTGCTCAGGTTTGGAAGATGATCAACAAAATCTGAATTTGATCCGTAACAAAAGAGAAAAGACTTCACTACATTATGTTTTGTTACTTCCTCAAAAGTATTTGTCTCTACCTAGATAAAAAAAAATATAAGGGTTTGAAATAACATTACCTTAAGACAACTGCTTGACTATTGATGGTGTTCTATAATAATAATAGTAATAAAATTGAAAAGTAGAAAACTGACTTTCAGGCCATAATAACATAAATACATCAGTGAGCCCCTTCCGTTAAAATATGTGCATGTAAGACCCTTGACAAGAAGAGAACACTAGATATGAAGTGAACCTGTTAAAGTTGTTTGTGTCTGTGAAGCGTGCGCCGCAGACAGCGCAGTTTGAGAGGCGGTCCTCAGAGTGGATGAGAAGATGCCGCCCAAGCGAGCCAGGCGAACTCAGGGCTCGCCCACACACTGGGCACACATAGCTCTTGGTGTTGCTCATCATAGCCGTGTGCTGTTCAAGACAAGACAAACAAAAATCAGCGCAACATTAATAAAATAAATCTCTCTTTGTTGCAATGGGTTTGTTTAAACCCATTGCAAATCTAAACAAATTAGAAACTTCAATAACTGATTGCATCAATACCAATCATTTTCCAACATAATTTAAACTAGACAAACAGGATTTTTTAAGACAGCATTAAAAAACATTAAACATCATCTAAATTATAATAATTAAAAAATATTTAACACTAAATGGCTGAATGATTGACAACTTGTACTGAACCTGAGCATAATAAAGATTGTGCTAATACCTAAACCACTAACGTATATGTTTTAAGTGTTATAGTAAAAATAACCACCTTGCTTTACATCCTAAGTAAGCCTTCATTAAAGTCATTAGGCAGAGTGTCTCAAAATACATCATCAAACAGAGGTATACTATCAGAATGATTCTTTTCCTCTTTCTATTTCTCTGCAGAGTGTAGATTGTCAGTAGATGCTTCTTGCGACAGCGATTAGGTTAAATGTGAGAGAGAGTGAGACATGGTCCACTAATCAGTCGATCTAGCATCATCTCTTGATCATCTCTCAACGATAAAACAGATAAAATTATCTTGACTAAATAAATCCCCACAGGTGTTGCAGGTATATATAGGGTCATGAGAACGATCATTGTGAGGTATAGTTACATGACAATGTAAGCACCAAGTTGGATCCTACAAGTGAACACCTCCTCCCTCAGCCTGCATTTTTACAGGAGTACTTACTTTGAATAAGCTCCTTAGGGGCTTTAAAGGTGATGACCCACCACTCGCTTATTAGAAACAGACTTCAATAAAAGGATCTCGACCTGCTTTGTTTTCATGTGTGAAGTGTGCTGGATTAGGACAGGCGAGACAATATCCTTCTCACCTGGTAGACATGAGAGATGAGCTTTTCAGGGCTGCTGAAATCCAGCGGGCAGAGAGGACAAATATAGTTGTGTTCTGCCCCTTCCTCGCTCTCCTGAGGGAAACAAATCACTGTTAAAAACAATCTCTGCTGTTCTTCCTTTTGTTTAACAGTTATTGATCAGGGTTGCTGCACACTTTTTTAAGTCTGATACAAAGAAAGAGTAACAACATTTTTGCACCACATAGTGTTGGTGCTTTTTTTGGTTCTCAACCGTTTTGTGTCAAGATCCGTTTTGGAGCTTTTGATGCCTTTATTTGACAGGACAGTGGATGAATTAGAAAGTCGGAGTGAGAGAGTGGGGAATGACAAGAAGCCACAGGTTGGACTCAAACCCAGGCCACCCACTTGGTGGACTGTATCATCCATACAGGGGATGAGACCTAACCTTCAGGCCAACTAGAGCCCCCTGAACAGTTTTGATTCCCAATGTCAAAAGTTGTAACACTTTTTGACATTATTTCAATCTTTCTCATAATCATTGTTTGTCTATTTCATGACCATTCCTTGTATTCTTCATCTTGAAGCAAAGTGTTCTTGAGCTTGTATTTCACCATCTTCCTCTCCTTCTCTCTTACATTAATTATTTGTGAATGCCAATGTAATAAGCTGCTGTAAAGGCTGTCAATTGTCATATGAAAAAGCAATCCACAAAAAATAATAAAAAGTTAATTTAAGGCCATAAATATTATTATAATAATTATTTAAGTTTTTTATTGTTTTTTCAAAACAACCAAGCAACACCCATGAAAAATATCCATGAACATCCAAAATTACCACCCACAAACCCTACTTTAGACATTATAATTAGACAAAAAGAGATGTCATGTTAGTAATTTAGTAAAGGCCACAGCGCTGGTCTGGGATCGGGAGAGACCCAGATCTCTTTGAACCACACCAAATATTAACTTCAGCTGTGGGTCGATGTCTCATATTAGGCTATCAAGACAGTGATGAAGTATTCAGAATGGGTCAGCTGTTAACTAACATATGTAGTGTTTTTGCGAGTGCTATATGCTGATGTGTCAAATTGTGAAAATGAGCAAAATTCTCACAGGCCCCTGTGACTCGCTCAGTGACATGATGCTGTGTGCTGTCACAGATGTGACTCACACACAAGCTGATTATTTTCAAACAGAAGGTCCAGGCACAAAACATATTGCCTAGTACCACTGGCATTATGTAGCTCTTTGCTGTTTCTCTCTTAGTCACAAGTTGTCAAACAGCGCAGAATTTCTCAATCATGATTCATCCCAAAAGATTTGGCTACTACGTCAAAATACCTGTTTTATATTCTTATTTCAATCTATTAGATTTTGATTTAATTGCATATCAGGAGGATATAGAATAAAGTTAACTTGATGATCTATACACATGATGACAAATCCAAGTTTCTGTTACAGTTTGAACAGAAGATCTAAAGAGAAGGAAACACTGTGTATATGTCAGATAAATCAGATTGTTTTGTTCCTCTCACCTCTTTGACTCCCTCTCCTAGCAGACGGCACTGTGATCTCTTGGTGGTCATGTGGTCGTCAGCCGAGCAGTTGGAGGATGAATCTTCTCCGTGGATGTCAGGGTCACTATCGCTGTCTTCTATGGAGGCAAACACAGCCCTATCAATACAGACAGACGACAGAGCAGAGAGCAGGGCTTACTCTCACTAACACTCGTCAGTCCGAACGAGGACGCCCTACACAGTCCATCGAGTACTTCACCGCCCCGTCCCATCCCCTCCAACCATTCTGTACCTGAGATGCTATCCTGCTCTTGGATTTCCTGGGAGTTGTTGCTGCAGCATTCACTGTCTTCGGTGAATTCGTCCCTGCCGTCCATATTAATAGTGTGCTGTATTCCTGTGATGCCTAAAGTGTGGAATGGCCCTGGTGAAAAAAAGAAAACAGTACCATTAATAGGAGTGAAACAAAATATCGATACGGGAAGATATCATCGCTCTGACTTGTGTGGTAAATTAATGAATTGCTGGTGCCAAAAATCAACATTTATTGAAAACAGATATACAGTGCTCTAAACTGATTTCCCTGCCAATCTGACTTACTGTATAACGCATTACCACTTCATGACTACTCACTGTGGCCCTTATGACATGAATGAATATAATGTGAACCAAAATGTATTGGCCAAAGGAGATAAAGAAGGAAGAAGACAGCAGGATGACGTTGGACAGTGGTGAAAAGAAGAAAAGAGATGAAGCATGATCAGAGAGTGAATAAACACATTAATCCTGCACTTTTTCTTTTTAGGGGCATTTTGTATTCTTCAAATGATCAGAATAGCTGTATAGTGATATCCTTTTTCTGGGCTATGTATTGCATATCTTGTTGTCTAGTGTGTTAACCTGTGTGTTACCCTACAAGTGTTTGTAGTGAGCACAATGAAGTGTTCTGCTGCAGCGAAAAATTTGGCGAGTGCAGTTCACAAGCATATTTGTATGCAGTAAGCTAAAAAAAAATATATATGGATCATTTTATATATTCCATAAAACAATATAACTTTAACCCCTATCAGATATTTGACCATGCCGCTGTGTTAATCTTTATAACATCTCTTAGACCACTTCAAAGAGATGTATACCTCAATGTGTCATCAAGTACTGAACATGCTGGATTTTCCAAACACAGACATTCAGAAATGTTTTTCATCAATTTACAAGTACGTTGATTTTCCAGAAAATGTATGACATAAAAATGTGTAACCATATGATATGACAAGCAGTGGAATAAAAACAGGTGTGATCAAGCCTTTCTTTCTAGTTTCACAAGTAAAAAGACTGTTTCTGTATAGACAGCATTTCGTGTATTTTTTTGACAGACTGACGAATGACTGCATGATCATTTTATATAATACTTCAAATGCAGCTAAACATATTTAAATAAACTAAGAAAACCCTCCTTTATAACTGTAAACAGAATCTATCATGTGTCTTCTATCTCCATAGCAACACAGAGACAGTGTTAACTGTCATCACATACCAGAACATTTTTCAACTGTAATATATCTAATATTTCATCCGAAGTAGCACACCAATAACATCTTGAGGCCTCTGATTAATCTCAGGACATTATTACTGTTTGATTCAGCACAGATGATTATAGTAGTTAAAAAAGGGGACAAAAGGAAAACCATGATCAAAATGAACACATCAAAAAGAGCTCATTCCTGGGTTAATCATTTACACAATTCTTTACATTTTTCTCAAACATTTTGAGACCTCCATCCAGCATTAGCCTGCTTTCCCATGAAGCATCCAACGCGAAACATAATGAATGCTAAGCCGGCCACGGGAACACACTGACATACGTGCACACACACATTAACTTCATTTGCATCCCAACCCCCACTTTTTCACACACATATACACTCGCGGATAACATGCTAGCTCTGTTCGACAGCCATGCTGCAGTCCCATGGGGGAAGCAGCCTGCACTGTTTTCCTCTCGCTAACTGCCTTGCTACTCTCTCTCTCTCTCTCTCAGTACCACCCACACACTGAACAGCCTGGCTCACCCTCTGTCCTCCCTGCTTGTATGTAGCGCTGACTACTTCCATATCTATACCATCAGCTCTGAGGGGGAGGATGAAGCTTCATACCATGACAGCCCATATGTGACTCATTTAACTCTTTGTGATGCCACTCTTTGTTTTATTGCAATCCTGTGAGTTGGAGGAGTCTTTGAAATCTTTTCGCTGCTCTTTATTATCAGGACTTGAACATGCAGACCTGTATTTGACGGCCAACACTCCTTCTTTGAGACAGTTTGGTTGAGAGCTCCTCTGGAATTCACACACAAGCTCATCCTCCTCCAGACAGCTCAGTGTGCTTTCTCTCCATTAAACCAGATCACAGATGGGATAGAGATCCTGACTTCAGTTACCTGAGACTGACAGAAGTAATTACCGCTTTTTGACGCAATCCTGAGGTATTGCGCGCGCACACTCACACACTCTCACTGTCTCTCCCTGTGTATGAGCAAAACAGAAGTATAATCATTGGTTTAGCATTGTAGTATTTTGCTTGTGGGGAGAAGTTAGGGTGTAAACTCCATTTGGGAACTTTCCCATAGATATCAAAGCATTCATTAGAAGTCAAAGAGTGTGTCAAAGTATTGAACTATGAACTACTACAACAAGCTGGCTTCACGGCACATAGCCAATGATTGATGTGTGAGAGATACCCATCCCCCCACTGCTAGGGCTCTGTCTGTACATCTGTCTCTCCTCACTCCCTTCCTCCCTCTCCTCCCCCCCCCCCCCCATCCTCCCTTAGTCTCTGCCACTGTGATGTTATCTCTGAGTCTGTGTGTCTGTAGGCAGGAGGTGACGCAGTGTCTGACTGAATCCAGACAAAGAGACAAACTCATCAGCCAACAGACACACAGAAGAGGGAGAGACAAGAGGAGGAGGAGGAGGAGAATGGGGGGGTGGTTAGGGGTTGGAGGGGTAGCGCGCAAAACAAAACAGACAAAAGATAGAATGCCAAAACTCTGCTCAAACACTGAGCAATGGGGGTCCTGTTGAATTCAAAGCCCCCTTCTTCTCTTTTCAGCCCTTCCAAAAACACACACATATGCAGACACACAGCACGTCTGTATTTGCAGGAAGTGATGGGGCCCCTGTCCATCCATACACATGAAACAAGGATGGTGGGCCAGACATCTGATCGATTCTCGCTCTGATTAACTGGTGACACGCTATTACAGAGAAGACAGTGATATGAATAACCAGTTTTCACCGAGGAAGACTTTCTCTGTTGAAAGACAGGGACAGGGACCACAAGACAAGCTACAGTCACAAGTGTTCAAGCAACATTTGTGTTATCTACTGCATCAAATACATCTGAGAGAAACTTCTGAGTTTGACGTCTTTAAAGTTCATGTCTTTAAAGTTCACTTGACACAGATGGGTGTATGAAAAAACGCACTGAACTGTGATCCTCATAGGCAAACAACTTCAAGTGCAGTACATAGAAAGTATAGCCTCTGAATATATATCTTCAAGCTACTACTTTATAACTAATGCGTCTACTGTTAGAAAAACTTTCTATTTACCGGTACCTAAAACCTGAAAGACTCATCGATTTTTTTTTTTGATAAAACCTGCACCACCTGCAGTCCTGATTGACTTTTCTGAAATGCTTTTTACTTTACTTGTTTCTGTACATCAAACCTAAAGAGGACCACAAATAGCTAGGCAGACAGCACTGTTGTATTATTGTCTGGAATTCCCTTTGTGTGTGTGTGTGTGTGTGTGTGTGTGTGTGTGTGTGTGTGTGTGTGTGTGTGTGTGTATGTGTGTGTGTGTCAGCCCGCCCGCCTGTCAGACTGTCTCCATGCCTGTCTGGTCTGTCAGTCAGTCTATCTGTTGTGACCCTCTCAGGGGGGACAGCTCTGTGCATTCAAGTCATACCTCACAAGAAAAGACAGGTAAAACAATCAAGGCTACGCAGAAGAAAGTCAGGTATGAACACAAATCCTGAATCCACACTTAAGTGACACGACTAGTCTGTTGACATTGTGTAAAGCACTAACCTTTAACAATAACCAACATAACCTTGTATCAGGCCCTCCTGAGGACTTTTAAAGCTCCAACTTTAAACTCGTGTAAAAGTGTCACAGAGCAGCAAATGAGCTCATTAGCTCGCAAGGATTAGTGCAGTCAAGCGTAAGATGTATTTCAACTACACTTTAGACAAACTATGTTTAGAAAGGAGGGCTGCAGCACACAGAACTTTCGGCAGATTACACCGGGCAATCGCCTTTCTGAGGACTGAGACACGTTTAATAGGTCTGCATGCTGTCCATCAAAGAGGGGGATACAGGGGTCAGAGGGACAAAAGCAAAGCTTATCATGAAAACAGAAACAGATCAGAGGTTGTCGAACAGGTGACTTACTCTGCCCAATAAAAAAAAACTCTTCTCTGAGTCAGCAGTTGGGTAAAGATATATGAGAAATATATGAGATGAGTGTGTGTCAGAGACGTGCACTGTTAAAAATTGTGATAATGATATGAAGTGCAATAAACAAAACAAACAAATTAGAAGTGTATATAACACACAGTTTTTCTCTTTCTATCTGCTGTTTGTCATGTGTTTACAACATGTCTCTCTGAATCAGAAATCAATTGAACATCCAAACTGTCACCATTTATTCCGAGGCTATCTGCTAGCTAGCATCTGACTGCTTCAGACTAGTGTGAAAGCATTGCCATTACAACCAGACCTCTATCCGATAGGTTAGATGAACGCATGCCAAGCGAGAAAGAAACTATTGCTTGTTTCTATAAAATAGATGAACAGATGAATTTGCAATGAATTTCACAGCCCTACTACTAACACTGACGCATGTCACAAGACTTGCCGATGGGCTGATGTTAATGCACATACTGTATAAACTAGTTTATTTCTTCATTTCACTTTGTATTTTCGTTGCACTTTACTCAACACCAGCATTTTGCACTTCTGGTGCTAACCTGCCTTTCATTAGTCAATACTTGTACTGACATTAAACATTAGATTTTCTATTTTAATGTTTCTTTTCTTTCCTCTGTCATGATGCTTTTGATGTCTTGTGTGAAGCACTATGAATTGCCTTGTTGTTGAAATGTGCTATATAAATAAACTTGCCTTGCCTTGCCTTGCCTTGCCTTGCCTTGCCTTGCCTTGCGCAACAACAACAAAGTTGAATCTAATCTAATCTAGGCTGATAGTTATTTTCATTATTGACTAATCGGTTAATTTCCCTATTGATGATTTGTTCTGCCTTTGTGTTTATCTATCATATAAATGGAACAATTGTAACACATACATACATGTGATTGATATGGACAAAATAATTCAAAAACATCAAAACCCTCATTATGAAATGCTGGAGCCAAAACTAAACAACTATAACATTAACAATAAGGTGATCATTTTTTTCTTGTAATGGTACTGAGATGTCAGACAAACTGAAATGACATCAAGCATGCAGAGTCACATTGAGTAAAGTTGAAAGGCTTATCCACTCTCATGTGATGAGACTTTAGATCTGCTTCAACTTAAAATAAATACTATGTTGATTGGTTTGAGTCAAGAGTTGTTGGGCAACTACAGAGCCTCTACAGGTTTGGCCGTAGATTCACATGATGTCCATGTAGTTAGATTTTAACTTAAAGTAATTTCTCTTATTTATTGGTCTCTTTATCAAAATGTTCACCTTAATACAAAACCCAGATATCTCAATGTGGTTAGCCACTGATCCTGACACACCTGAGGAGGACACAATCCCAAGGATTTTTTTGAAAAGAAAAATTGTGGAAATGTCTAGTTTCACAGCCACAAACATAATCTGTTTAAAAAAAAAAACAGGAAATGTTGCAAAACAGGCAAGAGATCAAGGTGGCGAGATAGATTACACATTATCCCTAAAGTCTGCCAAAATAGTAAGCGCTACTTTTAAGGAAATATATTGAATATACCAAAGATGCGGACATCACCATATTGTAATTTTTTCATAAACTTCTTTGTTTTTGCCAAGAGATGTCAAGCAACTTTACTCGTCTCTTTTTTTGAATCAATGTGTGCAGCTATGTCTATAAGATCTTTGAGCTCCTTGGGAAAAGATAATAAGAAAAAAAAATGAATAGACTAGCCAATAAAGTCTTGTGATGCATCGTCACGAAATCTACAGAACAATATGAGTGAGATCTACGTCACCAATATTTCTGATATCATGCAAACCCAATCCTGAATTATATTGACATATCAGTGTTACACACTCTAAATATCTGTTAATCTACAGTCAGTATGTGATGGTATGACATGAATCAACTGAAAGCTACAGTGAACATTAAAGGTAGAGATCCGAAGACTATAAATGCAAAAAAAATCAACATTCAAACTCCAATAAACTGGAGACTGTACGGGTAATGGACGTGACATGAATGTATCTGGTGGAATAGAATTAGCCAATACCTGGAAATACCTACAGTTAACTTTGAAGGGGTTGGTCTGTTTTCGCCTTGACATATTATTGTCCACTCCCGGTTAAAAAAAACAAACAGGAATCTCCTCCTAATCCTGCACGGTTACCCTGAGACCAGCCCAGGTGTTTTCCGCACTGAGGGGATAGATGATGAGCGAAATAAGAACAAGAAAATGAATGGGATCAAAACGTCCCTACGTTCAGCAGAGTCGGGGGGGCCATTGACGGGGGAGGGGGGGGAGTTAAAAGAAAAAGCAAGAGTCACATTCTTGCAGTCGTTAAAAAAAAAAAAATCCCCCGTATCCCAGTCGATCCGGGGTTTAAAATGATGTCCAAACAAGACCACAGAGAAAACCGAGCGGCCCCGAGCTGCTCCGATCTCGAGCCGCTGGCACCCGCGCACTCACTGCAGCGACGCACGAGCTCAGCTGATCACTAACGTAAAAGCGATGAAGCCACACCGAACAGGATTGTGGGATATGCAGGGACGATGGGGAGTTCATGCTGAAGATACTGTGATGCGTTCAGGTCGCATAGGAGAAGTGACGACAGTGTGCAAGACTCCTCAAGTTCTTGACATAGGCCGACACAAAGTTTAAGATTAATATATCTTTTTTTTTTTTTTTTTTAAATCACTCCCTCAATCATATATTTTCAAATTATATCTGAGTGTACGTTAATTATTAAATCGGAAGATTACAATACATGGATCAATGACAATAGACAACACACTATCTCAGAAAAAGACAGTAAGAGTAAAGAGCCCACAACAAACAAAAAAATAAATAAAAACCCGATTAACGATTGTTTTGTAAACAAATCAACGTATATTGATCAGATTGATCACAGAAAAGATGCGTCCCACCATCAATATAACAGCCAATATTAGATTTTACAACACATCAAATAACAATATATATGTAAAACATCTTAAAGTGACCACATTTATGCATCTGTGATAAGAGTTATACAGTTAGCAAAACGTTTCACACTTCAAAACAAATTTGTCAGTGCCCTCTGGTGGACAAATAATGACATGATTTGTTGGTATTTTAAGGCTGAAACATATCCAGATAGTGATGAAAACTAAACCTGTGATGAACTCGTCAGCATGGTCATCAAGTGTTACTAAGCCTGACGCTCACAAAAATGACCTGGTGTTATTTGTATCCCTGAGCAGAAGGTCTGTTTACCACCAAAATGACAAGAACATGTCTGCGGTTATAAACATGTTGGTCAGTTGGATTATGCATAGTAACAAGAACACAATTTCTGGAAAAGTGTTGTGTTTACATTTATTTTTCCAATGCCGAAACACCCCAAATTCCAGCCCTTTTAAAATGTGTTTTGGATGACTAGAAACACCAGGCAGATTGCTCAAAACAATCCATCATCATAGCCTTAAATCAGTACAATAACAAAGATAAGTGTTGTTTGGTCGCACATCTGATTAGCATCTTGGTGGCGCAAGTCAAAATGATGAAAAAGTGACTTGAAAAGTGAGGATTCCACATGCGGCCCCCCATCAACCCTCAACGTGGCCCTCAGGTCAATTTTTACATATCAATTAATTGGAAAAAATGAAGAAAACATGACAAAATCTGCCATGAAATCATAAAAACCACAAATATGTCCATAGTAATATTTGATCACTGGTATATGTTGAGTTACATTTGAGACATAATCGACTGTAATCGTTTTTTGTATGCTACAATTTGGCCCTCTGGCAGTGAGAATTAAATGACTGTGGCCCTTGCTGTGAACGAAGTTGCCCACCCCTGGTACAGACCCTGACATACTGCTGAATCACATGGTTTAAGGTTAACATTAATTAAATGTAGCACGCTCTGATTAGAACGACCACACTGAATTAAAAGCATAATGAATAAACATAAACACAGTATAATGAAATTAGTTATCTATCTAGTTATTAATAAATTATTTAAAAAGCCTCTCTACAGTACGGACACTAGGTGGCGCTCAATTCCACTAAACGGATAATGTCATAACATTAGATGTAGTCGTCATCACTGACTGCCACGAGTAAACGGACCGCAGCACAACATTGACAGGGTTAAAAAAAAAATGTATTCCTCCGCCGGTTTTAGAGGAAAATTTGCCATCTCGACAAAATAATCTCGTCTTGTCACGGAATTTTCGGTATCAGTACACATTTAAAAAAAACTGCTCATACTGAAATACATGATTACTGTGAGTCAAACAGCCTATTAAATCAATAACATAACACTTTCGCTGGCTAGCTGGCTTAGGTTTTTTTTTAAAAAACCCATACGTTCGCCTTTTATAGTTAAACGATGAAGGAGAACAGGCTCACTAGCTAGCAACTAGTAGAAAAAACGAATACCAGGCTTCACAGTACAATCACCAAGCCACATGTCACATTATTTTTTGAAAACATAATTAAGCAATTACCCATGGTGTCCAGTGAACACTGGCATATCAGGAGGGAGTCTCGGGCAGAGGCACAGACAAGTGGAGAGGTGACGAGCTAACCTTTACTGCACGGTGATGACAAACTTCATCCGCGCTTCTTTCACACAGCCGCTGTGTTGTCAGTGTAACCCTCCGCCTGCGGTAGATGCGCTGAGGCTGGAGTAGCCACCATTTTGCATGTCTAGTGTGTGCCTCCCTCCATTGCTAATAGAGACGATTCCAGTTCTTTTCTGGTATCACTACGGCTTGTGAGTATATTCTAACATTACTATGTCGGTAGAACTATATAAAAATGGCTTTACTTGTGAGTAATAACCAATGGCCTGATTGTACGTGCGTTGACAACTCTTAGTGTGTCGCTGCATGTGAAGTCGCAGCCCTCAGTGCACCGGGGCTGTGCCTGTCAGCAGCTAACTTAGCTAAGCATGCTAACAACCTGCTGGGCTAGGGATGTAGCTAATGCTCAGTAGCATATTCAAGCTGTGTGAGGAGGGGGGGGGGGTCTACCAAGTCATAGTCATCTCGACAACATGCAATGGCAAAGTACGTTTAATATCTGAACCAGTCAACGTTGTTTTAAAAACCTGTATTCACACGTCTTGTTTGGACAGAAGGAGGAGGTAACATTCACTAACGAGCTGTCAGGTAACATTAGCTACAGAGGACTCGCTAGTTTCTAATCCAAATGCTTCAAGAAGGCCTTTAACTGCATCATTGTCCTGATCAGTCGGCGGTCACACTCAGGTGTCATGCCCAGCCTTTTAATGGCCTTTTTTTTCTATTCGACAGTAATGTCCAAATGCTGTCGGGTGTAAATCTTCAGCCAAGGTGACGCCGCCGCCGCCGCTGCTGCTGTCGTGTCAAACCTCAAAATGTTGCCCTTTAACTTCACATATTAGTGTGTAATTGTGTTCGCTTGTTACGACTTTACGTTTGCTAGTTGTCAGTAGCTACTTTGAAGTAAAGAGTTTGACGTTGTTGAAAGCTGAATTTGGACTTGGAACCCTAATTTGTGGGAAACTACAAACATTTCAGCAATACGTCAATGTAGGGCTCTGCTATCCGGGAAGCTAACGACGTGTAGCTTTTTAAAGTGTGTGCAGGACGGGGACTCTCTTAGTTTCACAAGTTTGTAACCCCGGTGTTGAATACGTCATAATTATGAATTAACAATATTTTAATACTGCTTATAGTCCCCTTGTCGCCTCACAAAGACCTGTTCTTATGAAACAATCCGCTGGTTTACGTTAAGGAAGTCAGCTGTGAGTAGGAAGTGAGCATAGGCGTGTGACGCGCAGGAGCCTATAGGTGATTCTTGCATACCTGTCGGTCACATTATGTTCTTCATTAGTTGTTGAAGATTTAAAAAAAAAAAAAAAACCTTTCTAAAGAACACGCTTTTTTAATCAGCCCTTGTGGAGATGATAATTCTGTCTCATGTTTAATCACCTGTAGTGAAAAGATATCAAAAGTTGTTCTTTGATGTTAAATAATTAAGTGGAATAACATCTCAATTAAAACCAGTTAACATTTAACACTGTTGACAGTGATGTAGTGACTAACTCTTTGAGGCCTACCTCTTATTTGAGCAAATTTATTAAGTTAACTTCATTTTAATTTCAGGTTTAACAGTCATTAATCCCACACAATCACAGTAATTTCATGCCTAGGTATTGTTGCTGTGTTTGTCCTACATCCCAATCTTCTCAAAAAGACAGACGTATCTTAACATTACAATTGTTTTATTAATTGTTTTATCTTCCAATTTCTATTTGTTTTTTCTTAACATTTCAATAATAGTAAGACGGTACCAGATGTAACATGCAAAGATGTGTCATTTATTGTTTACTCCCTCATAGTTACAGCAGCCCAACAAAGAGAAGAAGGTGGAGAAGTTTTACATGATGCATCATAAGCAGTTGTTGTTCAGCATAGGTGTCAGTTACTTCACCTGCTGGCTAGTTTGAAACCTAACAGCTAAAGCCAGATAATTGTTTGTACAGGTCAACTGAAGCCACTTCTTGAGTGACCATGATGCGAGCTTGTTTCTGCTGTGTAAATTGTTGATTGGTTTGAGTCAAGAGTTGTTGGGCAACTACAGAGCCTCTGCAGGTTTGGCTGTCGATTCACATGATGTCCATGTAGTTAGATTTTAACTTTGTTATGGCCCTCAGCTCTGTGCCTGTCTTTCAAGTAATTTCTCTTACATTTATTGGTTTCTTTGTCAGTCTGAGGATAGTGGTGAAAGTGGTTCTTGCATGAGAAGGATGGTTGAATGGCCTCTGCAGCCGATGATGTACACATTAACTAGCAATTTCACATTACCAGTGGTTAACCTTTGGATTAACCCTTTTTAATCCACAAAGATACATAAATAGAAATGATCATTTACAAAGTTGTATACATGATAGGACTGATCATAGAACCTTTGTATGTAAAACACTTATTATTTACTACTAGGGAAGGGCCACATATTTGCCTACATGTAAGAAGCAGAGTATAGCACAAACTGTTGTGTATTTTTATTTATTTATTATAATGGTACTTTGAGACACTGCCCATCTAATATACATGATGATTTTGAAGAAATAGAGTTGTCTGCTCTGATAGTATTTAATTTGTGAGTACATACTAGAGATCAGAGTGAAAATAAGGAGACAAAGTGCATCAGGTTATGATAGCCTTGTAAATTGAGCAGGGAAAAGCTTGCCACCAGTGGAGTCTCTGTATATTTTT